TTCTTCTCCCGCGCCGGTAAGCCCATTTTGAACCTCTCAACCCACCCGACCTTCCTCTTCTCCGGCTCGGGATCAACCTCCACATGTATCGTATAGAACCCCTTCTCCGGCACCTTCACACTCGCGAAGTACTCCGTCCACACGGCTGGGCTGATGCGCGAGTACGTCGATTTGTCCTTGACCGGTGCGGAAGGGAGGTAGAAGCAAAAGTGGATGCGGGCGTCTGCGGTGTTGAGGAGGGACGCGAAGTCGCGGTGGACTACTTCCAGCGCTTTCTGCGATGGATGTGAGGGTGTGGGTGAGGTGGGGAGGGAGACGTGAGAGGGAGACGTGAGAGGGAGACGTGAGAGGGAGACGTACGGCGTGGGTGGGGGGCCATTCGGCCATTACTGTTGTCTTTTCGTATGTGTATAGGAGCTTGGATGGGGTGGGCATGTTGAAGTGTCCTACTATTACGATGATGATGCACTTGGATACTTATGAGGATGTAAGGCGTGGCTATGCGCTTTCGGAGGGCGCACCGACGACGGTTATCCTAGCGATGCAATGTATGCTAGGAGCGTAGGCTTTGGCTTCTTCGTAAATGCACACTATTCATTCGCGTTGCGATGTGGCTTTTGCGCCCGATTTACGACTCACACTCGTGGGATATGGCTGTGATCTACGATCGCGCATGACCGACAGCTGTAGAAGTATGCGCTGATGATACGCATGCTCCTGTTGAATACCAGTACATGTTCTCAAACCTTCTCCTTCGAATACGCGGGCAACTCAGAGTCGTTCTCAATCGCCGCAACATCCCGATCCTCATCCTTCTTCACCGGCACCTCCCCTGCACCCAACATCTCACTCTTCCCCTTGCCCTTCTCCCTACCCAACCTCAACCTCTCCGCCCATCCCGACTTCCTCGGCTTCTCCACCTCGACGTACATCACCATCAGCCTATCAGGCGTGGCCACAAAACCCTGAAAGAATCCTTCCCAGATCGTCGGACTGATACGCGACTTCATGACGGTCTCCGAGTGGCGCTTGATGAACATACAGAAGTGAATGTGTTCGTCCTGGACGTTGCGCAGTTCGACGAACTCGCGGTGCGCTATTTCCAGGGCTTTCTATGTTTGTGGTCAGTGATCGGTGCATTGATATCGGGAAGTGAGCCTGGAGCTTACGCCGTGTGAGGCGGGCCATTCTGCTATGATGGATGTCTGCTCATACTGGTACGCGAGTCCGGTGGGGACGGGCATGGTGGAAGCGTTAGCAGGACATACACACGGCAGTCGACCGTGACATCGACACATGAGTGGCTGTGCTCAAATGCGCTTATGACAGATGTCCTGATATGCAGTGTTGAGAGGAACCCGGTAAGGGATATCAATGCACGAGAGAGCGTACTAGGCTTGAACCAGATCACTTGGCCAGACGGTGGCACAGCTTTCTCGAGCCGACGCGTTTCCGACGCAAACGTTCGTTCAGGACTCGGGGCCATGGACGCACCCATGATGATGTCCGTTTATCACGAGGCACTCGCTGATACAGTGCGTGTACATCGAGTGTGAACATATTGGCATCCGATACTCAGAGCGGTTCTAAGCTGGTGGGCCACCGATAATAGACCGCCATACCTCAAAGAGGGCATGACGCTGGCTGGGGAGCAAGGTGTTATCTCATGGATATCAGAAATCATGAACCTGTCTGCTGAATCAAGTCTCCGTCTTCGAGTACACGGGCAAGTTCGCGCCTCCTTCACCGGCAACGTCCTTCCGCTTCTCCTCCCCGCTTGCCTTCCTCTCCTTGGTAAAGCCCAGTCTCTCCGCCCAGCTCCTCCCCTGAAGCTTATCAACCTCAATGAACAAAGTCGTTACAGCTTTATCGGCGCTGCAATCCGTCATCTGAAAGAACGTCTCCCAGTTGTGAGGGCTGATGCGAGATCGTTTGGGCCCGGCGTCGTAGCCTGTGGCGCTGCGCTTGACGTACATCTTGAGTTGTATGCGCTCGTCTTCCACGTCTCGCAGTTGCGTAAACTCGCGCCGTGCGATCTCTATAGCTTTCTGCATTATGTTGTATATCAGTCTAGGAAGAGTTGATATGAATCCGATGACGTACGGCGTGCGTTGGGGCGCTCTCGGCTATGACCGATGACTTCTTGTATTGGTATGCGAGTTGAGCAGGAAGAGGCATGGTGGTGTTGGCCAGTGAAAGGGATCCACCGTGTTCTTATACCGAGGACCCAGAGCTACAGCTCCACAGTGCGGGAACGAGAGCCTTAGGCGCCCTCGTCACAACTCTTGATAGGTCCTGACGAACTATCCTGGCCGAGAGGTCGTTCGTTCACACCAATACAATAAAGTTGAGGCCCATGTTGGCACTCAGAGTCAGAGAGAACGAAGCCATCGTCATGGCCGCATGAGTTCAAGTTCAACCTGCCAGCGACACGCGCGCGATCAAAGCAGATAAGATCAAATCATGGGCGCCTATAGGTCCCAGATACCCGATCAAGTCGCGAGGAACGGCAGAGCCTCGAGGCTCGCTATAGCTTGGACTAGACGCCCACCGCCCGGCCCGCGCCTCGAGCTCAAAGTCAGCACCCTGTCGTCAACCTCGTCGCATAGACCGTAGATTGACATGTTTCGTGGTGTAGTGGACGACATCTCGACCGGGTCCGACTCGGATTACACAAAGTGCGCCTCGTTCTTATGTTTACTATGCTGTCCGTGATGCTAATACCGTATTCTACCATGTAGTTCGGTATGTGGTACTCGCGAATACTGTCAATTGATAAGTAATGTCTGAGTTGACTGGCTGATTTGTCATTGCTAGTGGATCTCGTGGTTCCTCTCGAGCAAGGGCAACGAGTACTTCTGCGAGGTCGAGGAGGACTTCATCCTCGACCGCTTCAACCTCACCGGCCTCAACTCAGAGGTCCAGAACTACTCGCAAGCACTTGATCTCATTACGGACAACCTTGGTACGTCTTCACATATATACTTCATCCATACCAGTGCTGAACTTGGATTGCTTGAAGACGATGACTTCCAAGATGAGATGCGCGGAACACTCGACATCCAGGCCCGCCTACTATATGGCTTAATCCACTCTCGCTGGATAATAACCGCACGGGGTCTTAACAAGATGGTGCGCCACACATCCTGCACATCCACCTACACCTTCTGACCCGAACTTCCGATCCGTCTAGGTCGAGAAATACAAAAAGGCAGACTTCGGCCGCTGCCCACGTGTACTATGCCAACAGCAACCTCTTCTACCAGTCGGCCTGACGGACGTACCATACGAGAAGAGCGTCAAGCTCTACTGCGCCCGCTGCGAAGATCTCTACTCGCCTAAATCCTCCCGCCACGGCTCCATCGACGGAGCATACTTCGGCACATCATTCCCTCACCTCCTCTTCCTCTGCCACCCAAACTTGATCCCACCAAAAGCTGGTCCGGTTGAGACTTCTGGCAGAGGAGGGAGTACCGCCGCTGGCCGTGCGCAACGTGCACGGGAGGAGGCCGCGCAGGCAGAGGCGACGGGCGCGGAGAGCAGCGGGATCGGAGAGGGAGTCAGTACGGCTAGTGTGGCGCTACGTGCGGAGAGGTATCGTCCGAAGATATTTGGCTTCCACGTAAACGAGATCGCCAAGCTGCAAAGATGGCAGGAGGCGACGCGCGATAGGTAAGGCCCAAACACACCTCTTCCCGCAGAATGGAGACTAAAACGGTGATTTGCAGGCAAGTGGCAAGACTTGAGCAATTTGAGGCTCAGGATCAACCGCAGTAGACCGCGTACGGGGTACATTGTTGTTTGTACGGTTATACGATTGTCCGTTCGCCTGGATGCGAAGCCTTGTGATACCCTAGAAGGAAATCGCCTGTCACCCCTTCGGTTATGCGGTACTTCGCGTATGCCATATTTGGTAAGTAAAGTTCATGACTCTACGATTCCATTCATACCTGTCAGATACGCATTGCCCAATGAAGCCTGATGGCTACAGGTGCTTTTGCAATCGCGGTGATCGCAAATGAAGACCGGTGAATCGAAACCAGCTACCTCAATGTCTGGCGTGGATTCTACTCATCGGCCACCGGCCATGGTCGCACCCTAGGTTCGAGAATACTCAATATCACCGGCCTTGAACATCTATGCGGCTTCTATCAGTGGCTGACGTCCCGTGCCGCTCTTCGAGCATATATAAACAGAACAGTCGTTTCTCACCCTAGAGAACCTAAGCCTTCCCGTCCTTGATTTCTTCTCATCCGGATTGAAGCATAGTACCCGCAATGTCCCGTGTCGCCCTCGTAACTGGTGCAGCTCGCGGTATAGGCCGTTCCATCGCTCTTCGCCTCGCTACAGATGGACTAGACATCGCGCTGGTCGACCTCCCAAACTCGCTCGATGCCCTCAAGGATGTCGCGGAGGAGGTATTAAACCTCGGGCGGCGGGCAGCAGTACTTACTGCGGACGTATCGATTGAGAAGGATGTGCAGGATGCCGTCAAGGAGTGCGTAGAGAAGCTCGGGTCGCTCGACGTCGTATGGACTCCCTCCTTCTCTCTCGTCCGATGACCCCAGCGATCTCTGATTCTCTGTGTTGATGTCTACTAGATGGTTGCAAACGCAGGGATATTGGGGCCAGTGAAGGGGATCCTCGAAAGTGAGTACGTCTTCGGCCTTGACCCACCGCGGCGCCCGACTGCACATCTGATCCCTATTCATTACAGCTTCTGTCGAAGACCTCGACAGGGTGTACTCCATTAACATCCGCGGCGTGTTTCTATGCTACAAGCACGCTGCTGTACAGATGATCGCTCAAGGTCGTGGTGGACGGATAATCGGAGCGTCGTCCGTTGCGGGAAAGCAGGGTGGGTGCACTTCTTCACCGTTGGGTGTGATGATGTTGAGATGTCACGACAGGTTACCCGATGCTATTCGGTTACAGTGCGTCCAAATTTGCCGTGCGCAGTATGACGCAGACTACCGGTACGCCTGCATGGCTCTCTTACACTTCCCTGGTCAAAGCTGATGGATGCCGCAAAGCCGGAGCGCTTGGAGCGCACAAGATCACCGTCAACGCGTACGCTCCTGGAACGATTGCTTCGGATATGGGCTCTCTACTCGGTCAAGGCGTGAAGGATATTGGGATGGACCCCGGCTTGATTGTATGTCTCGTCCCAGATCAATTCAACTCCCAAGACTGACCACGGCAACTGCAGGTTCCGCCAATTGCAGGACATATCGGCTCAGGCGATGATGTGGCGGGTTTGGTGTCGTACTTGGCCTCGGATGCTGCGAGCTTCGTCACGGGCCAGACGGTATGTGCCAGTGACGTTCTTGCATGCTTGTGTTGGCTAATGATCGAGCTGTAGATCTCGATCAACGGAGGAATGTATTTCGACTAGCTGTCCTGAGAGCAAACCATCAATGGACGACACGTCGTCTTCGAGTCCGCTTCAACAGTCGACAGCATTGGATTCCTTCGCGCGCAGAATGAGGAGCTCAGAAACAAGCATGTACTACTCGGATATTGTATGAATAGAGATGCATTATGGCACTAGGAATTTGTACTTCAATGGTTGCCATACCCAACCTTGCTGACGATAGCAGTGTTCAAAGGCCACGGCCTCCCCATCCACGTCGCATGCTCAGTATGGTCCGCGAACTCATCATCCGAGTTAGGGTGAACAAGAACCCTACCACCCCATCTTGATCAGCCATCGCTCTGATTCTGACAATTAGCCTACTCACGAGAGAGGACCGCGCCAGATCACCATCCACGCGAAGAACGCGCCTAACTGCTGCGGATTGAAGACGTTCACTTCGAACATGCCCACAGGGTGAGGGCCTACAAATCGTGCTCGTTGAGATGACGCTCTTTGAGACGAGAATGGTGTGCTTACCGACGGGCTTCTCCCAGACTTGGTAGATCCTCAGCTCTGGGAATTCGCGCCGGATGCGTTCATGGAGCTCGTGAGCGTACTTGACCTCTGATGGGTTGCTCTGCATGAAGTAGACTGGCGGATTTCGATCACTCTTCAGCTTCTCGGAAGATAAAGGACAACTGGAGTCCCACGCACTGTGAAAGTCAAACCCGTTCTTGGGCATCGGTAGGATCGGCTCGGTGAAGGATTCGTACGCCTTCGACAGCGGCGCAGGAGGGTTGAAGAAGGACTTGCCGTCCTCGTTGCGAGTGTCTGGGAGAGGTTCGGCGTTCTCGTAGCCAGTAAGAGGGGACTTCCAGGTCTTCGGAGTGGCCATGTTGAGACTTGCGAGGGTGGTAGTAAAGCCGACGTGTATAGGATTGGTATGTGAAGGCCGCGCTCAAGGAAATGGGCGCCGTATATGTAGTCAGACGTAGCGGACGGTCGTCACAGCGCTTATGCTTCTTACGAAGCAGTCCGGATACTCGGACTACTCGCGAAGCACAGAAGGTCACATCAGCAAGACGAGATGAGCTCCGAGCGTCTCCGATATTGCCACGAGAAGCCGTAGATGAAAGCTACGTGCGTCATAGAGCAAAATCTTCCAGTCCTGTCATGGCCAGCAACCCGAGCCCAAGAAGCTGGGTTTGTCAGAGTTAATTGACGATGGAGTCAGCGTACTGGACGTAGGAAGCAAGAGTTGAAGAGCGCACGAGTCGCGTGAGACGCGTCGCGAATCCGATGGGTTAGGGTTGAGATGCGCTGCGATTGTCATTGAAGCCTGGGCGAATGCCTCACAAGTCCTGGCTTCAATATTTCCGACATATAGTAATCCGCTTCTTCAACATCTGTTGGTGGAAAGAGGACGGTCTGCGGACTGAACGATGTCGACCGAGAGGTGCACATCGAGGCGAGACGGGCGAGGACCTAGCAAAACGGAGCGCGGTCCCTCATAAGAGCCGTCTTGATATCAATTCAGACTAAAAGTCATATACAATGCAAGATATACAGTACAAGACTCCAACTAAGTACGCAAAACCCTGGGTAACAATGTTTTACATTTTTTGCACGCATCAATGCTTGAGCATGTCGGCGTACAATGGCCATGGCTTGCCCATCCACGAGTTCAGCTCAGTGTGATCCTTGTACGCGTCATTCGTGTTCGGGTGAATGAAGACGCTGCATTGGAGTGAGTACACTTCGCCGGCAGGGTGAGAGCAGAATGACTCACGAAAGTGGACCACGCATAACGGTGAGGAACGTGAAGAGCACACCAGTTTGATGCGGTGTGAATGTGTTGACTTCGAACATTCCTACAGGATGAGGGCCTGTAACGCGTTCAGTACATGATCAACGGCGATTGGTGGGATAGCTCTCACCGACTGGCCTGTCAAAGACCTGATAGATCCTCATCTCTGGGAACTCTCGACGAATGCGCTCATGTAGCTCTCGTGCGTACTTCACCTCGGCGGGGACGGTCTGCATGAAGTAAACTGTATTGTCTGAGTATCATGGCGGGGAGAGGGAGGAAGGAATCGTACTGTGGAAGTCGAACCCATTGTTCCTCTTCGTGAACGGCTCGGGGAAGGCCTCGTAGACCTTCGACAGGGGCGCGGGAGGGTTGTACAAGGACCTGCCATCCGAGCTAACTTCATTTGGCAATGGCTGGGCATGCTCGAAACCGGCGAGGGGAGACTTGGAAGATTTCGAAGACTTCGAGGAAAACATGGTATCTGATAGCACTGGGGTAGACTGAGGTGGTAGCGTGTCGAGCGGAATGAACCAGTCGCAACTGCCACCGTCCTAAACTTATAGCCATCGGTCTGCAGGAAAGCGTCATGGAGGCTTACGCGAGCCAGTCAGCGCATACCTAAGCATCGCGTTTGAACAGCTTCACAGTGGCGCATCTCTATCAGCGCCGGATGCAACAGTTGCACTCGCAGCGCATAAACCCGACGCTTAGATGGTGCGAACTGGTTCGCACGAGAGGCACTGCATGGAGGTCACGGTAGACGACCGTTTGCGACAAGCCCGATCCTTGCCGTTTTCGTGAGCGAACTTTCGGCCGGGCCCCGCCCGGGCCGGTGAGAAACGAGCTGACCGCGACAACGCTCGACCTGCGTCGATCGGGACCGACTCGCGCGCTCAGTTCATGTTGTAATGGCGCACCAAAGGTCAGTTCGCAAGTTGACAACCTGCCACCACCAACTAAGCTAAATGCATTCTTCTGAATACGACTATGCAGTGCCCTCGGGGACGGCAATATTAACGGCGCGCTCGACCCGCGTCTGACACAGAACCAGGCGCACTATTATCACCATGTTGCGCCTGCCCCGGATCCTATGAGCTATTACTCGCAGCCTCAGCCTCAGCCTGCGCCACATGAATTGCCCGTGCCTCCCCCGCCCGCTCAGGCCGAGAAGCGATCTGCGCCAGAGCCGGTTGCATCCGGGAGCGGCAGTAAGCGCCGGCGGACAACAAATACTGATCGTGTCGACGCCGACGAGGACGATGATGACGGCGACGCTACGGCGAATGGAGGTGCCCGGCACTGGACTGACGACGAGAAGGGGACTCTGTTCGACTGGCTGATGGGTCCCGGTAACGACGATCATTTTGAAGCGCTGCGCACAAAGAAGAATACATGTTTTCGAGAAGTTTGTCTACAGTGTTCACTCTAGAGTCGAAGATATACTGACGGTGGTGTGTAGTGTGCACAAGAGGCCTTCGGTGGACGCAAGACCTTTCTAGCCATCAAAGGCTGTTACGAGCGTAACTTCGCCGTGTTCAAGAACGTATACGCCTTCGAGGAGTTCACTGCGAACATGCCGCCCCCGTCGAGTATGGATCCAGACAGCGAAGTCGACCGCGTTCGCGAATTTGAGCGTCGCATCTACGCTGCTCGCCGCGCCGGTTTTAATCTGGGAAGCATCACGAGCCGACTGTTGGATCACTGGCATGAAATGGGCTGGTACAAGACCTTTCACGCTCGCTGGCATAACGATCCCAGCATGAAGCGTCCGACGCAGGGCCAGATTCAGGCGACGAACACGCCACAAATGCCGCCTCAGACTGCTGCGGCGCCACAAATGCAGTCTCAACAACCGCTTTCTCGTCCGCAGACCATGGCGCCCCCTCCGCTCAACCACAGCCCATCACCGCGGTATCCTCCGGTAGAACCCACACCTCTGCGCACGGATGTGATGCAGATGTCGGCGATGGTGTCGCGTCCAGATACCATGATGCACCACACTGCGCGAGATGCTTTGATGCATACTCCGACGCGCGCGGACAGCTTCTCGCATGGCCAACCTGGACGTTCGGATAGCATGATGTCTGCTATGCATGAGCCGCTGCATATGCATGATGACTATCAAGCCTCAAGCGAGACGCTTAGCCCGCCCGAGACGCCCGCGTTCGCTTATGCACCTCCACCAATTGTGTCCATGGCTTCCATGTCGTCCGTTCCAGAGACACCACGGCGGGTATCGGTCAACGGTATCGGGCAGCACCAGCATCAGCAGCGCCAACCCTCTCCTCCACCGGCTCCCGCCCCTGCTCCTCTACCAAATAACTCGTATACCTCCACACCTATATCTGGTACCGGTGCGGGATTCGGAGGCAGCATGGACGCGCTCAGTGTATTGAGCGATTGCGTCAAACAGCTCTCGGCCCAGGTTCGCGATATAGCGGAGATCGCGCGGCGCGCGGACGAGAGGGCTCGAACGAACGACGCGGCGGGCCGCGCAAAGGCGAAGAGCGAAACCGCTATGGAGGTCCTTGCGAATCCGCATGTACCTGATGAATACAAGGCGGCTGCAGGGGAATACCTGAAGAAGTTTTTCGCTATGGACTGATTGACTTGGCGACTAGTGTATTGCGTACTTTGTATTCTGATTCTTTGCTTGCTTTGCACCTGTTCTGGTTACTATACACGTAGACCTTTGTATTGCTTATTAGTCTGTATCATCTACGCTGTTGTGTTGGCCGTTTTTTCTTCGCTTTGTCACCCCTTTGTACATCTTCGAGTATGGATTGATCAATTGAACCCCAGTCAAGTCAAGGTGTAAAGGAAGGTTTGTCAATGGTGGTATATACAATCAGCTTGTTGATGAGCCCAGAGAAAGTGCCCCAAGTATGAAGCGAGTTATCAAGCTCTCCGCATGATCACTGAATGGTGACGGTGAGCAGCGTCACGATACCGTCGATGGCGATGCCGTGGTTGATACCGGTCGAGCCCACGGGCAACAAGCCGGTGATGTTCTGAGCAGTAGTCGAGTAGGTGACGCCACCAAAGCTCTTGGTGCCGACGGCGCCAGAAACAAGCTGGTCGCGACCAATATCATAACCATCGGGCACGATATCGTGGTTCTCCGTGGCGGGCTCCTCCTTGGAGACGGCGAGGAACATTGCGCCGGAGTCCGCGAGCGATCCGCTCTGCTTCCATGCGCTACGCACTTTGATTAGCCACGAGTCGAAGGGTCGAGTAGATCTATAGCACGTACCGGAAGTGGTTGCCGCCAATGGCAGACTCGAGGCAGGTGCCCAGAGTAGCATCTCCGTAGTCCTGACGGAGCTCGAGCAACTGGTCGACTTGGCCCTGGCCGTCGCCAAGATCGGCGGTCTGAGGGTCGCCCAGGTGGATCCCGAGGCACTCCGTCGAGCTATATACACTCAGCACCGCGTATTGAGCTGACGCTCAGCTGAAGGACTCACAAGCCGATTGCCTTCGCGTAGTTCGTCAACCCATCGGTGGTGAGCACAGCCGCAGAACTCAGACCCGACACAATGACATTGAGCGGCTCTCCGAGAGGCGCGGCCGCGACATCGAGCATAGAGCCACCGTTATCAGCCGGGTTGAAGTACGCAGCCGCGCGCTTGACGGGCGTCGCTACCGCAAAGGCGGATGTTGCGAGGAGAGCGGCGAAGACTGCGGCGCGGGCCATGGCGAGCTTCGATGACGAGCGGATGCGGGCGTAGAGCTCGATAGGTGGCAGGTGAGGTGACCAGATGCCTTTATACCATCGTCATGCTACAGCCAAGAGGGGCGTGTGTGGTATGCGAACGTGAAGTCAGCATGTCGCCTGCTCGACGAAAGAAGCCGAGAAGAGGGTAACCTGCATGGTTATCCACGTTCGATGTCGGGAGAAGCGCTGGATGGTGGGATCATGTGCTTCAGGTCACCGATGGTCGCGCGCTCGATACGTCGTGCCAGCCCTACTCGGTCAGTACGTCTTGTTTCTGGGTTCCAGTAAGTCACGTTGGTACTGTCGCCGGACTTTACATTGTCCCTGTACTACATCCGGAATGACCAGAAGCCATAGGTTAGGATGGAACTCTTGAGCTGCTCTGAGCACGACGACCCGGCGCGAGCTGGTACCGGCGTCATAACGTTCTTCATCAGACGCGGCCAAGTCCTCGATGGAGATCGGTCAGAGATAACGCATGGCAAGCCAGATCTGCCGCCACAGCTTGTCAAACGTCTGGCAGATACGATGATATTCACATGCGAGCACGCGTGCACGGAGGTGATGCCTTCGACACCCAGCGGTATAGAGGTTGAACTGGGCAATGAAGAGTGCAGTGGAGACAAAGGCAACGCAGGCTTCAGAGTCTACATCAGATTGAGAATAACGCAGCAGAAGCCTTGACAGGATCTCATACACCTTCTGCAAGCCCTGGATGGAAATAGGTCTAGCGAAGCACGTTCGTAGCAAGCATGGACGCCCGAAAGGAGAGCTAGTCTTGTTGGGCGTGTTCCCATTCAGGCAGTACAGACTGAATAGATATGTGCGCAGCACGAGTCCATGCATTTTGTACGGCGCATTTGCCGAGGACGCTCAACACGCGAAGGGCCGTTCACATGGTGGTTCGAGAAAAGTGGCGTCGACCTTGCGGTTCGAGCTGTGTGGGAGCTCCTGTGGGTTCGTGTGCACGCAGATGCACGCCAGCAGGCGCCGGGGTTCGGACCGGAGGAACGGTCACGCCGACTTCGCCGATCGCGAAATTGAAGCGCGTTGCACGCGTTCGTCTGTACTTCCATCTCTGCGCCTCCATCACGGTTCAGGACTCAAAGCTATTATGGCAGCGGCCGAAGTGGTGACGAGCATTGCCGAATCCAGTACTAAAGTTTGTTCTGTCCTCTGACTTCGCAAGGAACCGCCGAGCTCACCGCCGACTCGCTTACCACAGGAGAAAACCAAAGCCAAGAAGCGGTATCTGAAAGCTAAGAAAGAGCGGCGCAAGAAGCGCAAGTCGGTTTCGGGCAGCACAAAAACTACAAATACAGTGGACGCTGTTGATGGCGGAGGACTTGCTTCTGGTGCTTTGAGCGAAGATGAGGAAGGACAGGGCGGGGAAGAAGAGGCGGCGCCTGCGCCTCGGGTGAAGGAGAAAAAGGAGAAGAAAAAGAAATCCAAAGATGATGATGCGGAAAGACCTCGAAAGCGACGCAAAGTCGTGGAGGAAGTGGTGGAACTGGCACCCATAGAAGCCCCGCCTATTGCATCTGCTTCGACATCCCGACAGTCTACGCCTGACTCTGATGCTATGGATGCCGATCCTGTAAACAATCATGCTGTGCATGTGGACGATACCATGGAGGTAGATGGACCGAGAACACCGACACCAGAACCTTCAGCGTTACCCTCTTTTCCTCAGCCTACTCAGCCTGTCGCGCCTTCCCGTCTCGAACTTGCTTCCCAAGGCTTAGATACTGCCCTTGCCCAGGCTAAAATCGTGGACCCTACGATCTCCTCACCTATATCTTTGGACGCCCACGATGATACTTCCGGACTCAGTCTCAAGACTCGCACACGCCTAAAGGATCTCGGTATCACGGAGCTGTTCGCAGGTTGGCCATTTGTGATTCGCCATCGCATCAGCACAAAACTGAGCCTACGTAGTTCAAACGACGCTGTTACCTCTCTTGCTTCCTTCGGACCCTTTCAAAAGAGCATTGTACTTGCCATACGACCCTCCATCCGACGTCTGTGTGTCTGCTCCGACCGGTAGCGGCAAGACGCTCGCCTATGTTCTGCCCATAATTGAAACGCTCGCTGTGCGCGTGGTGACGCGATTACGCGCGCTTATCGTGTTACCTACGCGGGATCTTGTCACGCAAGTCCGCGAGACGCTCGAAGAAGTCGGGAAAGGGAGAGGACTCAAGGTGCGGTCATACAGTCACGTATCATTCACAGACTGACTGACCGGTTCTCCAGATCGGCACAGCAACTGGTCAACACTCATTCGCGCATGAGCAGTCTCAACTCATTGCAGACAAGACTCCGGGGTAAGCATGGCCGAACTCGTGATATCCACGTCGCGTCCTAATGTGATTCTATAGCCTGCTTGGAGGATCAAGCAAAGTCGATATCCTGATATGCACCCCCGGCCGTCTCATCGACCATCTTAATGGGACTCCAAATTTCTCCTTGCAACATCTACGCTACCTTGTTAGTATCTGCGCCATGTAACGAATTGTCACCACTAAATACTCAACGCAGGTGATTGACGAAGCAGACCGACTACTCGCGCAGTCATTCCAAGACTGGCTCATCCGGGTGCTTACTGCGACACGTCCGCCGCCAGAATCTGCAGCTGCTCTGCCCTCATTACTGGACGACGATCTCCCCTATCCAGATGCCCTGGCGCCGTCTCATGCGCATCTACTGTCTAACATCATCACGGACATCGACGAGCCCACAGCGTCTTCTTGTCAGAAGCTCTTATTCTCCGCCACACTCATGAGTGACCCGGCCAAGCTTCGAGCCTTAGACCTCCGCGATCCTCAGTACGTTATCTTACAGTCAGCGGGGGCCGGTGCAGATGCCGGCGGCGGCGCCTTGGACGTCGTCATGGAGAGATTCAGTATGCCGTCTACGCTAAGCGTATGCTCATTCATCTCTTCGTTGCTGTGGCACCCTTTTGACCGAAGAGTTGTAGGAACACATGCTCGTGTGCGACGCCGCGCGCAAGCCGCTAATGCTTTTCTGGCTGGTGCTTCAACGCGATGTACGGGGCGCGCTCGTATTCACCAAATCTGCCGAGTCAACAGCGCGTCTGGTGCGCTTGTTTGAGTTCTTCGAGGCTGCCCGTGCGGGAGATGGGAAACCTCTGATCGCAAGGGCGTATTCAAGCGACCTCGCGCCAGCCGAACGCAAAGCAACGCTTGAAGCATTCAAGAACAAAGAGATCGACCTGTGAGTCGTTATTTGTCGTCATATCGGCGAGATAGCGAACTGGATCGACTGACGTATCTCCGCAGGCTGGTTGCCTCTGATCTGATCTCGCGGGGGATCGACATCGCACACGTTGCACATGTGGTGTCATACGACGCTCCGGTTGACATGAGGAAATATGTTCATCGCGTTGGAAGAACTGCTCGCGCTGGCCGTAAGGGCGACGCATGGACGCTAGTGGAGGAACAGGAAGTACGTATAGCTCATGTCGCTCTTTATTCCGAAGGGTATTGGACTAATGAGATATATAGGCAAGATATTTCAAGGAGATGCTGCGCGGTGCCGGTCGGACTGAGGCCGTGACGAGAGTGCGTGTGAGCGACAAGCAGCTCGAACCGTACACCGGCTTCTATACGGTACGTACGGCCATCAAAGGCCGGTATCCTCGCATCTGAACGTCTTGTACAGGACAGTCTACAAAAACTCAAGGAGGTGTACACCCGCGAAAAGGCGAAGTAGCTGTGTACATAGCAGCTCATAGGCTACGCGAGCATAAGCGTCGGTGGGTCAGCCGGCGGGCACGCCACGATCTTTTGGCTTTGTCCTTATATGTGCGTTTGATCACCGTCTGTCGGCGAAGATACGATCTGTGATTGGACCGTTCCTGTCCGGTGTTTTTATGCCACTGTGATCGAAGTGATCCGTGTGAGCGCATGGGCTCGATAATGAACTGAGTACGCGGTTTGGCGATTTCATATCCCTTACCGTGTTTGACCTGGAACCACCACCAGCACTCCTGCCAGCGTGGCAGGTCTCCTGTCTTCTGCGTCGATCCTTCCGCTCCTTTAGTTACGGTGCGTGCCGTTTCTCGAACGTCGCCCTGAGATTCCATATCGTATCTCTTTCGGTTCTTTTTACCACGCGGCTTTTCCTTCAGCCCATTATCCATTATTTACGCCAACGCATCTGTCAGCTTAGCAGGCCAACACGTATAGAGTTGTGGATGGCCGAGCTACGAACGTTCTAGCTTAGCCGCTAGCTCTACCCAGCAGACGGTAGACTGGTGTGCGCACTGTGCTCGCCTCATGTCTTGTACCTAAAAGGGCGAACGGCTCTTAGGCGCGCATTACAGGCATGACCGTGGCCGGTTTTAGGATGTTTCTCACTTTTCACGCTACTGCACCGTCAGGTACCATTACCTTCCGGTGCCCGGTGGACGCGGCCGTGGCGGAGGTTTCATTAGGCCCGCTCCTGGAGTCTATCTGAACTTGCTTAAGACTGTGTACTGACGCTTGTCCCGCCCCAAGATAGTCCCCCGCACTCCCAACTCTCCTTTGAACCACGACCTTATCTATCATCGGCCATGGACTTCTTTCCTCCCGCCCCTAATCCCGACGTACCCGCCACTATGCCTCCTGAGGGCTTCTCTGCCGTCGATGCACCCTGGGTTCTGCACGCCAAGTCGTACACGTTCGTGTACGGCGCGCCCTCGTCATCGGCACCAACACCATCCGCCGAAGCCATCCTCTCTAATCCGCACAATACACCTGAGACCCTTCGCGGTCTCCCCGCCGGCGTGTACTACCCTACTGAAGCCGTTCACCCCGAGGTTCTCCTCGACGCCACAAGTGGCGGTCCGCAGCTCGCGAACACATGGCTCTCATGCGTGATGATTCTCCACTACGAGAACACACCTGTCGGGCCGTATGACGAGCTCATCCTTATTCCCGCTGCGATGAAGAATCCACACACGACCGAGACAGCGCTTCGATGCACGAGCATGTTCGTCAGCAATCACGGCAGTCTCTACAACGGTCGCCGCAACTGGAGTACGCCTCTCCGTCTTCGCATACTACCATGTTCTTCGTACTCACATGGCATCAGACATCCCGAAAGCCCTGGCGCGATTTGAGTTCACGAAGCTCGATGGGTCCCGTGAGCGCGTCCGCGTCTTCCACCACCCCGACTCTACCCTCCCCACCGGCATCGACATCTCCAAACCCTTCTTCTCTGCCGTCATAACGACTTCCAGCATCCCCGCCATCCCGATCCCACGCTTCACCTTCCCGCCCCTGATACAGCCACCCCTCGCATTGCACCCCGGAGAGGAGAAGTACCCCTGGGTTAGCGTCCGGCCCAAGTACAAGGGCAAGTGGGGCTTGACATGGGGCAGCGCCGACACGGATGAGGGCAGCGCAGGCCCAACATTCGGCGATGGAATCAGTTTTCCCGCTATGAGCCTCTACTCCGCTGGTGTCTACTTCGAGGGGGAGCTCGCGTTCGGACCTGGGCAGCGCGAGTCTGGCTTCGGAGCTGGGTCGGGCAAGACGGAGACGGATAAGAAGGTCGATTGAACGGTGTTCTGAGACTTGATCGTGCTAGTACTGTTTTCGAACGCTCATGTGGCCCCGCGTTCTCGCCCCTGTTATCCTCTTTCCACTCACGGACGTCCCTCGTGCATTCGATGCTGCTTGATTTACCTACTTTGCGCCCACCTATCCCACTTGCTCTTACATTTTTGCAATGCTTTCAATACTCGATTTGCCTGCGTCGTCATGTACATTGGACTCGGACTATCACACTATCTATTTGGAACCATCATTCTCGTTCTCTTCGGTGTATGCAGGCAGTATCTGGCCCCCCGCGACTTGGGTGAGCTACGTAGGAGGGTTCCTTGGACCCATCGAACTTTACATGAAGCATCGCAGCCGATTCAGACCGGGAGATCCAACGTGAGAGCGGCCGGATCGAGCTAATCACCACCTTCGGGTAGGACGGTATGCGCATACACGTACCAGATCACTGTCATGAGAACTATACTTTACACTATATCAGAGTTCTCATTTCTCATTCAATGCTCTGCTCCGGAATGACCGTGATCATACGATTTTGCCTGTTTCACCTCGACTGCAGACGATAGTACAACTGGGGGACTACCACACCAGGACGACGAGGTTCTCATGTCATCACACGAACGGCGCAGGTGGTCCAGTCAATGTATGAAGTACGCAGCACCCGCTACGGTGCTGAATTGGCTGCCACCTTCCCGTACTCGCATGCGCCATTGACGTCCGATGCGGCCTAGTATGGTCGCGAAATGAACTCCCAGTGTGGTCGTGGACGCAATCGGCTGTACATACGACTCGGACCCCGTTGATGAGGGGAAGATATGAGCACTACTGATGATGGTGGCGGAGAAACTCTCAAGCGTCAAGCGTCCAGACGCGTCAGCGCTCAGCGACTGGGCGGCCGAAACAGCGACGCGTGTGCGGATGGCAGAACGCGTCGTCGTCTGTCGTCGTTAACCACGATGATCAAAGCTCGGCGAACCCTGCCATTGCCCTTGCATTGCCCGAACCGCAAGTCCCTGCGATTCGCTAGGCGAGACGGGTTCATTGCCGTGTAGGCTCCAGCAAGGAGATCTCTAGGTCTATGTCGTGGATCTTACAGACAGATAATGTGTCAGGTGAAACGGAAATCCATGGTGTAACTCCTATATAACAGAGTATGACTGGTCTGGCTGGACCCAATCCTCACTTATCAACTCCAACAATGAACCTCATCGGCCTTGACGAAGTCACCATCTTCAGCGCTCAGCACGAGTAGGTCGCTCTCTTCCGAGGCTTCGTGACTGCCGTTCAATGCATGCTGACCTCGTTCATCTTCCAGCATCTACCCCCTGATCGATCCGAAGTCGTCTTTTGAGTCGCAGGCTTACAAGGACAAGGTCGTCGTCATCACTGGTGGTTCGACGGGCATCGGTGCTACTACCGCTCTCTTCTACGCGAAAGCTGGCGCGAAAGTCATCATCAACGCGCGCCGTGTTGAGAATCTCGAAACTCACAAGGCAACCATTGAGAAAGAAGCGCCTGGGGCGCAGGTCTTGCTTGTTGGTGGAGATGTCTCCGATCCGGAGGTCGGAAAACGCATCGTGGAGACCGCTATCGAGACGTGGAAGCGGCTAGACATCGTCGTAGCCAACTCGGCCACTGCTGCTGGACCCGTCAATAGTGGGTCGCATAGGCGGCTACGTTAACGATCCCACTAACCTTGGTCCTAGAACTGGCCGACAAAGATGCTCTTGCTTGGTGGCACACACAAGAAGTCAATGTGCGCGGCACCTTGAACATCATACTGTGCGTAGCTTCTTGTGCACCTTCAATGATCTATTTGGTGAAGCATAGTCAGCCCGGCCATTCCTGAGCTCCTCAAGACGAAGGGCCAGATCGTCGTGACAACTTCTGCCATGGCGCACCTGCGCTTGCCGCTCACGAGCGACTACAATGTATGTATATCGGGCTTCTTCAGCGTTGACGGGACTTGACTGTGTACCTGTAGATCAGCAAGCATACTCTCAATCGCTTTACTGAAATACTCGCGCTTGGTCAGTGCGCCCTCATACGGCTGTGAAAGGTCTAACACGCATTCGCAGATTACCCCGAGATTCCTATCTATACTGTTCATCCTGGATCTATCCTTACCCCCGGCTCTGACGAATTCCAGGAGAAGATAGGTACTAAAGGCCTCTTTCCGCAGCCGGTGGAGTAGGGAGGGCAGGAGGAGGAGAGGAGGAGAGGAGGAGAGACCGAGCAGCGTGAGAGATAGCCTTAGCTTAGTCATAGAGACGCGCCGAAGGCGCGTCTGCAGGACCAATAGACATCATCTGCCCACGACGGCAGGCCTCCCTACCTAGCAGACTGCGTGCCTGGCTTCTCCATTTGGTGACGAGAGTGGCATTTGGCAACGCACTAGTGGCTCGAGCATAGAAGTTGAACTGGACCTGGGATTCGCTGGCACGCGATAGCAGTTCTCCTGCTGGCAAGCAATTCGGCTTTCTGGAAGTTTCAAACGAAGTGGCACTGGCTAGAAGTTACTGGCACCCAAACTGGCACCACCAAAGAGAGCACTACCAGCTCGGGACGAGCACGGACGATTCGTGAGCATGGCTTCGCGAGCAGCAGACGAACAAGGCGGTTCAGGCTCCGACTTCGAGTTGGATTCGGAGACGTCTATACCCGGCACGCCAAACTCCTCAGAACTGCCGACAAGACACACTATCAACTTAGATCTCGGAGATCATCGACTTGGCCCCGCGAAACGGCTCGAACCATCGGCGAGGCAGGCCAACGCGGAAACCGCACACATCACGCGTGTCCGAGAACGGGTCATAACACCACCTTCATCGCCGAAAGCAGCCTCCTCCCTTCCACCATCAGCACAGACGCGCGCACCACCCTTTCAACCTCCACCAGCACCCGTCACGCTGCCTCCCAAAGGACCGACGCCTCCCGTTTCCACCACCGCACCCCGACGCAAGAAGAAGCCTAACATGGGATTCCAAGGCGAGCCGTTCACGGGCGAACGCGGCGACGACCCCGTGGATTTCTGGCGGCGGTTCGATCAGTGGTCATTAGATAGCGAATGGGATGACGCGAAGACTCTGCGAGCGTTCAAATCGTGCCTGAAGAGCGGTTCCAAGGCGAACGACTGGTTCTTGGAGTGCGAGACGAACAGCACGATAACCAACGCCTCAAGCCTGGAGTCGCAGTTTAACACGAAATATCCCGCGCTCGAGAAGGCGAAGAAGACGGCGGACGACCTGGCTGCAGACTTGATGGCGTTGAGGTTGAAGGAAGCGGACTTGGGCAGGACGGTGAAGGTCGGAGGCGTTGAGATGTGGGCGCACCGCGCGTATGCAACGGAAGCGATAGAACTCGCAAAGGAGGCCGGTATCAGTAGCACGACGGCATCTATCACGATCATTAGGGACAACCTTCCCAAAGCCATTAGACGTCTCGTGAAGTCGAAGCACGTATCGCTTGAGGCCTTCTTCACCGCAATCAACGCGCTCGACCCGGACACCGTGAAGGAGGAAGCAGAGTTTGTCCGCGAGATACAGGAAGAAGCGGAGAAGAGTGCAGACGCTCGGGTTCAGATGCTCATGGCGAATATGTCGCTCGGCTCTAACGAGAGCGGTGCGCGTTCGCGCCAAGGGGCAAGGACCACTCAGTCGGCGCCAGCCAGCAACAGCAATACGCCGCGCGCACCACAGTCCAACCCCCCGGTTACCCAGTCGCGCCCAGCGGGTACGCCACCAGCACGAAATGGCCCGCTTCCGCCGCCCACGGCCGAGCAGCGCGCGCGCTTGGAACAGGCAGCAACCGTTGTGCCACCGAACCGAACCCCACAAGCCATGGCGAAGTACGAGGCGGACATGGCTGCGTTCACGGCCAGATTTGGCAGTCGCCCGTATATTACATACGACACCCCTGTTCCGCTTCGCCCTGGTGGACCGATGCTAGCATACTCGGAGTGCTTCAACTGCGGCAACATCAATCATTATGGCGCGGATTGCCCGCATCGTCTCAATGCAGCACACCCGGATCGCCTGCCCGGGCCGGAGTCGCGATGGAGGGCGTTGGTGGGCACGGTGTTGAAGAACGTCAATCGACCACGCAGAGGAAATGCGAACTCGGGTGCGGATATTCTATTTACTGGTCAGGATGATGGCGGGTTCAATGGATGGGCGAACACGCCCGGGTATGAGATGTTGGAACAGGGAAACGCGAGCGGGTCGGCTTGAAAGGGGATACCCCGACCCGCAATGCACTTACCCCCTTACCCTCTAATGTACCCGTCCTCACGCGCACGGTGGCTGAGCGTGAGGACAAGAATCTGGTTGAAGGCCCCACGGAAGAGATTTTCGAATCGCTTGTCGTACCACGTACTGATAATGCACATGTTTTTGAACTGTATTCTGTGGATCGCGAGGACCAGATATTTGACCCTGATGTGCTTCCGTTTGTACAGGAAGTCGCGCTGGTCAGTCCAACGGGCGAAGTAACACGTGTGCGAGGGCTGTTCGATGACGGCGCACACGCTAGTGTCATGTCGACCCCAGTATTCAATCGCATCAAACACCGGTTACGAGGATGGACACAGTCAGGACGCAGATTGCGTGTTGCGAACGGCGCAATCATCTGCTCTGAGGCACGGTGGAGAGGCCCAATAGAGATCGGAGGTGTTTGCACGACAGGCGAGTTTGAAGTCTTCGACGGAGGTGGCGCCTGGAGCTTCCTAGTTGGAAAGCCGCTTCTGCACGCATTCAAAGCTATCCACGACTATGGCGAGGACACCGTTAAGCTCACGGGACACGATGGCAGGACGGTGTTACTGCAAAACAACATACCGCCAGGCACACCATCCCTGAATTCAGTTTACCTGATTGACTGGAAGGAGTATGGTACGCCCGCGGTTGCAGTCTCGCAGTTTCTGAGCAATATACACATTATAGCACGACTCGTTTCAGTGTCTCGGTAACGCACCGGTAACGGGAGCAAAAAGGCTGGCAACGTTACCGGTCCAGTATATTTTAAGCGAGGATATATCGCCAAGTTTGGACGGGCCCCGAGCCTCGCCTTCGGATCGTCTGTGCCGGGCGCGAGGCGCCCAGGAAGCGAGGACCCATGCGGCGGCCCGAGGCGCCAAGGCGCGTCAACAGTTGTCAACACGGCTTCCGTGTCTTCGGCGTGCGCGCAAAGGCGCGCGTCCCTCCTCCCGCCTCCGCCTGCTGCGAGCACTCACCCTCTCTTTCAATCACGCCCTCCTGACTGTATTGTACCGTACTATACATTTGCTTAATCTACAATAAAATCCCGCTATTTGGCAAGCTCCCCGGGGCACTCCGTCGCGATCGCTCGCGCGTACTCGGCAAGTCTGGCGACCTGAGGCTTACCGTCGTAGGCGAGCACATTTACCCTCTCAAGCGAGCACGGAGTACTGACACGCTTTTCACAGTTTCAGTCTTGCTCATGCTGTAAAACTCGGAGACCCCGCTCGCGCTCGCAATCCAAGTCCGCCCTCATCTTCAACTACCCTCTACATTCTATCCCTGTACTGTATCGCGCGCGCACTATGTTCAACACTCCCTGGTTCGAATCTGGGCAGTTCTCTGCCGATGAATCTGGCGACATATCTTCCTCTGCGCGTACGGGACCGGCAACTCGCCCTCTGCGACCTTTCGGCGAGATTGTAGGTCTCAGTGTTGTTACCTGCTGCCAACCATAGCCTGATTTTTATTCAGCCCGTCAATTACAGTAACGACCCTGGCACTGCTTTGGAGGGATCACTCTGGACCTCTGCGTCGTCGTTTGCTGCGAACGACTTGTTTCCCGAACTTGGTCATGTGCCCGTGCGTGCATTTCATTCTTCTATTTTTGTACGACGCGACTCACACACGGTACAGTCGCCTCACTATGAAGCCCCGGAGCAGAAATGGTCCGATTTTCTTTCGCACTCGTCCGAATACCCATTCAACGATTATACCGCAACTACGCACTTCGTAAGTTCCCGTTCTGATGCCATCGGCGAGCGTCTTCTGATGATTCGGGCGTACAGGCTGCCCAACCGTCACCAACAAAGCGGCCGCGCCTTCACTGCGATTCATCTTCTCAGGGTATCGGCAACGGTTCAACCTCTCGCGGTAGTCCGCTCACGCCGGCGATTGATCATTGTCGCCCCGGTGATATGCCTGCGTCAGCTGCTCCTTCTGCGCCACAAACTACCAGCCAAGCAGCCCGAAAGCGCAAAACTCAATACAAGCCTAAGCGAAAGCCTGCAGCCCCGGCGATCGTAGCTACGCCAGCTGCACCCGCGGTCTTTTCCAGCGAGTCATCCGCCCAGTCCTCGTCTGCGCAGTACTCTGCATCGGAAGCACTGCGAAAGGCGTCGTCCGATATTCGCCGTGCTACCGTCACTGGTCAGCGTGCCACAACGCAGACGGGTCCGCAATATGCGCGTTATTTCAAGAATTACGAGGAGTGGTGGACGGCGAGGCCGGATGAACGCCAGAAGCTGGGCATCCCTCGCGAAACGTCGCACATGCCAATCACCGCTCCCAAGGTCGTACTTTTCCTCGACTACACGCGAAACCGCCTCAGGGTAAGTACTCACTTCGTCGCTGCGATAATAAGTCTGACGACTTCATGCAGAAAAATTCCAATGGCAACGAACTCGACGGTAGAGTTGGTGCGGCGACCATCATCGGGATCATCACCGCGCTCGAGGCTAAGCGGGTTGAAACTCAAGACGACTTCCCTAATGACCGCGACGCACTCCGCACGCTTCGCGATGACACAGGTATTCGCGCCATAGAAGCCGCCGCGAAGCATGATCGCCCCAAGCTCCTGGAGGAAGCCATGCTATTGAAGGCCAGCGGGACGTCTGCAGGTTTGTTGCCTCCTACTTTGTGCGTGTTGATGCTGACCCGTTCCAGATACGTACACTACAGATGATCTCCACACCGTCGGTCGATGGTATTTCCAGGCGGCGCGGACACCTACCCAGCTCCAAACAATGATGCGCGATCGTGCGATGTTTTTTCTGGGGCTTGCGGTGGCTTTCCGTGGCGACAGTACACGCAATGTCCAACTTTCGGATCTGTTTCTTTCCGACGTCTCAATACCGGACATACGCCCCGGTTTCAAGGTTCCTGTACGTGTTCATTCAAATCAATATACGGCTTTGAACTCATACGAGTGACTAGGTACTCGGCATCCTCGCCGATAACGCCAAACACAATCAGACCGGTCGCGTCGAGGAATATGCGCTCATGCGTCATCGCGAACCGCTTGTTTGCGGTGTATCCGCGATGGCCGCCCACCTTTTCCTCACGTTCCGCCAGCAGACGCCCGATTTCGTGCCGGATTTCTCAGGCGAACGGGCACCGGTCTATGGAAAGCGCACCTGGTACAGCCATCTCGTCTTTCCGGCCGATTTCAAGAGACCGGAGAAGAGCCTAACTTACGATGGTATGCCGCTTGACGACTCTATCTTCCACGGTGATACATGCTGACCCCCTTAATAGCTCACAATAGACGTATTCACAAGATGCACGGCGAGAATAACATATCTCTCACGAAAGTCACACATGCGCCACGACCGACGGGTGTCAAGATCGCACGCGAGAACGGCGCGTCGTCGGATGGCACGAAGGCTCTTGGTGGCTGGCACTCCGGTGACTCGTACAATAATTGTTACGACCACACACTCCCTCTAGACGCTCTACTCGGTATATCGGGCCAGAACGGCCGCAAACCCGAGACGTATCACCTCCCGCGTGCGAATCTCGGTCAGTGTCAATATGTATCTTACCCGTATACGAAGCTTTTCGCTCACGCATCGATTTAGACGTCCCTCCCGAGCTCGTCGCTGCCGTTTTTCCTGCCAGCGGCCAGTGGCTGACGGCATTGAATGAACGCGAGTCTCAATCAGCACACAGGTACAAGGACGTCGCGCTTCGCAACTTGTTACGCCTCTTACCATGGCTGGCGAAAGCTCTCGTCGTCGACATGGCTCTGCTCCTGGCCGATGGCGACGTCGCATCGACAAATGTCTGGTTCACGCTCCCGCCCTTCAATACGGATGCCTTTCGTCGCTTCGCCTCGGAAGCTCCCGTACTCCTCCGAGAGGCTGAACGTCAGACTCGGCTTGCCCTCGATAAGCTGCCGGACTTTATCGCCGCCAAGTTCCAGACCGTGCTCAGCGATATGTATGTCGAGCGCCGGCGCGAGACCAAAGAACAGCTTGAGTTGATCTCGAGACTCACTGAAGCCTTGGACGGCTACAGTCTCTCGCAAACGGCGCCGTGTAACCCATCTGGTATGATAAACCCCTTATTTTATAGTGCAACGACTGACCGTTTGTGCAGGATCGTCCCGTACAGTCTCTATCTCCTCACGATCCATGGTATCGACCCGCTCAACACGCTCTGACAGTCCCGAAGATCTGTGTAAGTATGCATTTGCGCTGCCGACTTGATTTCCGGTACTGACACGAGCACCCTTATTTAGTTTCGTTCTTTCCGAGCGAACAACCGTCACCGTCACAAGCTGGGCGAGAGACTACCCTACCGCCTTCAGCATCATCCTCGGTCGCACCCTCCGTTCCGCCATCACCATTGCACGATATTGTGGACTTTAGGGTCCTCGATGTTGTCGCGGACAGGGCGCCTTCGCCGGTGCTCCCTGAGATCCGTGACGTGCGTGCAGAGGATATGGCTAAGCTTCGTGCGCGCTTCGATCCTGCTCGTGTCGCTCGACACTTCTGGACCTGGGTACCCGCTGAATGCATTCACCTGCCGTCGTACGAGCTCGCTCACGGATTGAGCATCGAGGACACGTATCGCGAGTGGACCGAGGGTCATGACGGTCATCTGGCTGTACGGTCGCTCGAAGAGGCCTTTGGTACGCGTTGGCGCCAAGGTTCTTCCAAGCATCGTACAGCAATTAGCCGCTCGAGGACCCTTGTCGATACAATCACCACCCTTGCCGCCCGTCCACGTTGGAATGTGAGCATCGCGCTGGGGTTCATGAAGGCGCGATATGCCGGTAAAAGTGGCACTGCAGTCGCACGTCTTCTCTCCGAATCGTCAGGGTCATCACGTTCCGAGCTTTATGCTGCCGCCAGCCTGTATCAAATACCAACCCTACCTGTAGCATCATGATAGCTTGTTCATTACATCATACTTGGTTTCGTTTGCCTGTCTCGGGTAGTCGCCCAAGATAGGGGACAGTTGTTAACATGGACCGTCGATCGTCAACATAGGGGTCACTCTTCTACCTACAACCTCCATCACGGCCTCATACGCTCTACGAATGACTGTTATGAACCCTACACTACAACGTCTTATTGACCACCATGCTCAACTTGCGAACGTGAGCCAGCGAATCGGTTTACAGTGGTTATGCTGACGAGCATTGCAGGTCATCGACGCCGGGAAGCTCTCGAGGAGTCTTCGTTGGCTAACGAAGGGGAAGATCGCTCGTCATGGCCCCGGAACGGACTTGGTTATAGGGATCGATGCAAGGTCCGGTATAGATTCGAAACCCTGACCCGCTGCTGATCCCGCAATAGCTCCTGGTTGCTTGTTCGCGGTGGCGAGACTGTCGATCAATATCGCGAGCGTGTCTGTCTTGCAATAGCTGGGCTGGTTGATACCACTACTCGTCTTCTTCGAGAGGGGCTGACACTTAATCTTCTCTTTGTATTTGACAATCCTGACTGCTCTCACCCTCGTACGCGCCTCCTCCTTCACTCAGATTTCACCAACGAGACTACGCCCGATGGTGTCTATCAAAGCTGTGTCCGCGAGGTTCTAGAAAGGAGCTTGTTTTGTTCCTTCTGTCGCGAGTTCCGCGACGTCGCTGTGTCCTATATAGTCTATCGGGATTCGACACTACGTGCGACGAAGGAACTTGCCCAGCTCACTATTACGGGACGTGTTGACGTCGTCCTTGGACTCGACTTTGCTGCCTTGCTTTTCGGGGCTCGACGGTTCATCAAAATGTAAGTATCTTATCTACACTGTGTACGCGATATTCATTCAGTCAAACTAGGCCGAATTGCGACACGTTCGATCGGGAGTTTGACGGCGCACTAGACATGTATGCGGCCACCCGCCTTGAGTCCATGACGGGCTTGTCACGCGGCGGGCTTGTGCTCACCGTCTTGCTTTCCGCAATGGGTTCAAACGAGCCGGTATGTGGCTCACATACACGTACATACTCATTGCTCATATACTCCACAGGCCCTTGAGTTGCCATTTGAAGTGGCTCTTGCTGCGGGGAAGATGAACAGGTGCTCGCTCGGGAACGAGCTTCTCCGCACTGGCGATATCTTACAAGATGGCGGGCCCGCAGAATTGGCGCAGGCTCTTGCTAACTGGACTACGCGTCTGCAGTTCGAGATCGCCCTGGACCTCCATAATGTATTTGGTGGCCGTGATCTGCGTAGGGCTCGCCGCATCCCACACGAGTTTCCTAATCGTGCTACCGTCATCTCGTACACAGTTCCAGTCGATCCACAGGCCGCAGACATACTCGTACTATTTAGTGTAGAACATCCGGCTACAGCTTGATAGATAGGGCTTTTCCGACGTACCTGTAGCACCCGGCAGTTCGGCATCTGCTGGTCAGAAATGTAATATTATTTAAACCTAGTATTCTGAACTAATACATGGATTCGTAATATACCGTGTACAGCGTAATCAAGGCCAATATCCATAACAAAGCAACCTAATGGGCCGATCTGACAGGCTCTAGCCGGTAGTGAACCGATTTCGCAGCGGCAATGACGGCGAGGGAGCGATGGCGAGGGAGGCAAGCTGTATGGCTTTCGGTCATGTACCGGGCCTTGCCGGAGAGTTCAGCCACAAGTACGCTTGGGTAAGCGTACGCAGGCGGGCTTGTGTGGTGTAAGCACCGCACGAAAGCAGTGACTCGCCGTCGCGCGGGGCGAGTCAGGGCCCAGTGCGACGGCGGACCGTGGTTCGACAGGTTGGCTCAGCCCGAACGGCCGGCCACGAACTGTGCCAGCGCATACCGAGCGCATACCGGGCACCTTCCAGGTAAGCCGCAAGCTCGCGCGCGCATTGATCGTGTACGAGCAGCCTCCACAGTCTCGCAGGTGAGCGAGGGCCCAGTGCGACGGCAGCGCGGCTGCGGGTCGACACATTGGCGCAGACCGAATGCGCGGCCAGGACCCGCACCAGAGCCCGCGCCAGCGCGGACCGAGCACTCGCATTGAGCGGCCAGTGCCCGTGCGCGCGTCCGCACGAATTCACGGCGACGCGAGCGCGCGTGCCATCCGAGCGCGAGCGCGAGTGCGCCGCACCAGCCTGGGATCCAGTCTGGCGGCTGGCGAGGTTGCGAGAGCGCGGCGCGCACCGAGCGGGCGGCCACAATTTGGCCCCGCACGGCCAGTTCGAGCACAAATCGTCGGGGCCGAGCGAGGGCTCGCGCGCGTCGTGGTGGACGGAGGCATACTACCAAATCGGCTCGCGGTTTGGCGGGCGTTACCCGCCCGCTTAGCGGCAGGCCCGGCCCGGGCTCCGCCCCGTTGCCCAACGTTACCCGGAAACAAAAACAGTCGTGCTACACGTCCCGAACGGGCCGCGTTGGAGGCATCGGTGGCGGCTGACGGCCCAACCCCGATTGAGCCAGACTCTATACAGACAGCCAAGCCAATGGCTGGATGCACGGCTCGGATAGAGGAGGTTGTGGACGTATGCAACGCGCACGAGCCTGTTGCCGTGCATGATGACATACTTGCAGTCGGCGATGATGGGGTCCACACGCGACGTACAGACCCGCGAAATCCTGCCCGTGTCACGGCTCTCTTAAAGGCGGTGACTATTGGTGATGACCTCACAGCCGCGCAAAAGCAGAAAGTGGTTGACACGATTGTGGAGCACGCGGACTGCTTTGCGCTGAGCGTCGGCGAAGTGATAGAAGCAATCGATGCTGTGCACGAACTGAACATCCCTCCAGGAACGAAATTCAGCACTAAAGTCCCCCAACGCGAGTTCAATCCACCACGGCGCGCGTACGTGAATAAGTCGGTGGACGAGCTTCTGGAGGCGGGTATCATCGAGGCCGTGGAACCGTCAAAGGTGAAGGCGGTGTCACCGATCACTCTAGTTCAGAAGGCACACGACGGCATCGGTATGTCGCCAGACAAATTGAAGCGCGCCGTCAACAAGCAATGTGCGGATCACGGCATTGAGCCGTTCTTCGACCTCGATCCCGAAGCGGAGATGGATGACCCTATGGAGGACGAATCGCTACCTCAGGAGCAGAAATGGCGAATGTGCATCGACTATGCGGAGGTCAATAAGGTCACGGAGGTCCCACCGATGCCGCAGGGCGACATACGGGCCAAGCAACAGAGGCTTAGTGGGTTTAGGTACGTCAGCACTTTCGATTTTGCGTCTGGGTTCTATGCGGTGAAGGTCCATGAGAACTCGAGACCATATACGTGCTTCTATGTAGAAGGCCGCGGGTTCTTCTGGTTCAAGCGCATGCCCTTCGGTCTGACGGGCGCGCCGACAACCTTTGCGAACGTCACGGGAAAGCACATGCACGACCTCATTACCGAGGGCGTCATGGAGCTCTTCGTGGACGACGGTGGCTCAGCTGACGACGAGTTCGACCGTGGGTTGGATAAATTGGTCCGAATTCTTCAGCGCGTGCGGGAGCGTCGGCTATCCCTGTCGGCGAAGAAATGTTCGTTCTTCATGCGCAATTCTATGTTTGCGGGTGGCCAGGTTGGCTTTGATGGCGTGCAACCGGACTTGAAGAAATTAACAGCCATCGTCAAATGGGCTATCCCGAGAACGGCTGCAGCACTGAGCTCGTTCATGGGTTTGACAGGTCACTTTCGTGACTTGGTTAAGGACTATGCACGCGTCGAGGGACCTCTGCGCGATCTTCTCGCGGAAGTTGATCTTCCAGTCCCGTGCTCGCGATCACAGTACAAGAGGATCATGGAAGCGCATGTATTCGGCGACCGATGGAAGGATGTACACACGAATGCCTTCATCAAACTCAAGGGCATCCTGACGTCGGACCCGGTTCTGCGTGCACCGCGATGGGATGGTACTCCCTTCATCGTGACAACGGACGGATGCAAGGAGGGCTTCGGTGGTGTGTTGACTCAGCGGCACACAACGGTACTTCCATCGGGAAAAACGGTCACCAAGATGCACCCAGTCGCGTTCGCATCGAAGCGCACATCCAAAACGGAAGCTAAGTACCCACCATTCCTCTTAGAGCTGGCAGCTCTGAAGTTCTCGTTAGACAAGTTCTCTGACGTGACATGGGGCTTCCCGATCGAACTTGAGACGGATTGCCAAGCTTTGCGCGATGTGCTGCGTAGCAAGAAGCTCAACGTGCACTATGCACGATGGCGCGACGGGGTCCTTGCACACCAGATTGTGGACGTGCGGCATATCCCGGGCAAGATCAATCTCGTTGCGGATGCGATGAGTCGACAGTTCGAGGGCCTACCGCGTGTAGATGGCGACGGCAGCGAGTGGACGGTTAGCGAAGATTGGGAGGCCACTTCCGGGCTAGTCAATGACATACTTCTTGTCTCGACACCGCCCCAAGACAGGCCGGTACGAGAACCTGCACTGCGTGAGCGTTTCAAGAATGAACCTATCTTCTTGGACGTGATAGACGCACTGATGATGCAACAGCAGGTGTCATCAGCGTCGTTGAGGGACAAGGAACGCGCACGGCACCGTGCATCGGAGTACATGATCGAGAACGGAAAGTTGTGGCACGTCAAGAGTGGTCACGCAGTTCGCGGTGCCGCCCGCGTTGAATGCGTACCAGCCGCGGAAGCTCGAGAGCTTGCGGCGGCGCAACACGCAGACGGCGGACATTGGGGTCGTGACGCGATCAAGACGGCACTCATAGAGCGCATTCACTGCCCCCGTCTCGACGCGCTCATCATGGATGCGATTCGAAGCTGTCCCGAATGCAAGGCCTTCGGCGCCCCGAAACTGCACGCGCTCATGGATCCTATCACACGGCGGCATCCCTTCGAACTCCTTGTAGGCGACTATGTTTCGTTGTCGACGGGCAAAGGTGGCTTCAAGACTCTCGGAGTCTACGTCGATGCCTTTGCGCAGTTTGTGTACGTCGATAAGTTCAAAGTCGCTGGCAGCGCAGCGACTACGAATAAGTCGCTACAGCGCATCTTCGACGCGTACACTGCATACGAAACGTTTATGTCCGATGGGGGTCGCCACTTTGACAACGAAGCTGTTGACAAATTCTGCGAGGAACGTGGATGCAAGCATCACACGGTGGCCGCATACTCGCCCTGGGTCAATGGTCTGTGCGAAGGCGTTAACGGTCTGTTACTGCATGTACTCCGACACCTATGTGCTCCGGCGATCGGCGAAGACGACTATGTCGAAGGCTCGTGGAAGAACCTGCCGACCACATGGCCGGACCACCTCGACGAGGCAGTTGCCATCCTTAACAACCGCATCCTTCCCCGCATACGGTTCACACCGAAAGAGCTCTTACTGGGTATCGTGGTCAACACTCCACGCACGCCCATCTCGCAAAGTGCGGAAGAGCCGACGCCCGACGAAGTCCAGACGCAGCGCGACTACGAAGGCCAGCAGAACTTGGACGCGCGCGATCAGACAGTGCGCAGCGCCACCGCACGCAAGGTCGCCTTCGATCGCAAAGTGATGCGACAAGGGGGCGAGGTTGTATTCAAGCCGGGCCAGTTGGTGCAGTACAGACGCAGCGAGCTCGAGTACACGCTCTCCACAAAGCGCAAGCTCCTCGCATTCTGGTCGGAGCCATACCGCATCCGCGAACGCATTCGCAATTCCTACGTGCTCGAGAACAGAAAAGGCGCCCGGATCAAAGGCTTCTTCCACGCGCGCCGTCTTCGAGCGTTCACACCGCGGACGGGGACTACATTGGAGGTCGAGCAAAAGGAGTACATGGAACGGCTAGCAAAAGGGGAGATAAAGAGGCCGGAGCTACCAGATGTGGAGGAGGGTGCAGAAGAGGAAGTATTGGATGATGACGAGGACAAGGGTGTGTCGACGGACGATAACGACGACGAGTACGAGGAGGCGGCAAGTACACCCGAACCGGTGGGGTGGGCGGGACGATTACGAAAGCGCAAGCGCACGTAGCGACGCGGACGTCGCTTTTTTTGGGTGGGGGGCACATGGAGTAGGGAGGGCAGGAGGAGGAGAGGAGGAGAGGAGGAGAGACCGAGCAGCGTGAGAGATAGCCTTAGCNCGCCGAAGGCGCGTCTGCAGGACCAATAGACATCATCTGCCCACGACGGCAGGCCTCCCTACCTAGCAGACTGCGTGCCTGGCTTCTCCACCGGATACCGTTGAGCTCCCTGCGGCGACGTTCCTTTGGCTCACCGCCGGCAATGCCGAGTTCCTCAGTGGTCGGTAAGTGTGAGTCTGTTGCGGAGATGGCTCTGTGGCTCACCTTTGTACAGTTATGTGCAGGCCGACTGGGATCTCAACGAGGTCTTGTCCAAGAAGGACGAGATAGTGCGCGATAACTTACTAGTCACGAAATTGGCTGGCCCAAAGAAGTCCGCTTGATTGTAGCTATCAGACCTTTCGCTTTCTTGCGATTGTCAAACATTGTCTCGGCAACTTTTGTATCAATACCATCCGGATTTGTCCCATCACAATTCTACCATTTCCTCGTGTCCCTTCATGCCCCACCACGGAGTGGCTGTATCATATCCCTCGTAGGCCGCGCAAGATCATCTACTACCTTTGCCGGTGATTACGCATGACTGACAAGCTGACCATCAGGCATCGTTACCTACAAGTTTGTTTGAGCCTATGCAAGTTGGGGTTAGGGTTTGAGTGCGGGAACGCTGGACAGCGCGTGCGGTGCACAAGCCGCGCAACGCGCGTCTCAGAACGACGATGGAACGATGTTTGACAGCATAAGGATGAAACCCACTGCGATTCAAAAACCTATAGCTATTACGATGCAATACGATTGCGAGATGCGGAGGATGCGATGCGCGACGACGTAGGACGGGAGGGAGGAGATTTGCTGCTCACTCTGAAGTAAGATCGGGGAAGAGGGGTAAGATTGTAGGATGGGGGACGCTAACGAGTGGATGACGGTGAGAGGGAAAGCATGGGTTGTATAGGGAGTGTTCACGGTAGGGTCTGACTTCAAAGTGGGCGCGCGCGTCGCGGCGGCGCAAGGGAATGATAGCTATAAACATGAGAGGGATGGGAACTGGAAGAGGATATTCAACGAGTCTAAATGAGGACTGTGGATTCTGATATGAGACTGAAACATGGCACACGTGAGAATGAGAAGAGAAAATGGAGTTGAAAGATCGCTTTGGGAGACTGGCTCTCCCTCGGCGGTATATAAAAGTTCTGAAATCAAGCATTTGCCAACGGTCAACTAGAACCAGAACGGCGCCGGGCGGATATATAGGCCACAAAGAAAGGGTTGGTGGGCGGTGGAGGTAGGGTATGGCTAAAACGCGATGAAGAGATGAGTGTGCGAGAGGAAGGGTCGTGCGGGCATATGCATGGCATGGACGTGCGTCGTGAACCAGATGAACAAGGGGAGATGCAAACGACGAATGCAAGTGGCGATGCGACAGTTGGGAGGCGGGTTAGCGACGGACTATAATTAGTGACGCAGAACGGGAGAGATCGATGCGCGCGAGAGTAGACTGTAGACTGAACAGGACCGGAAAGAAAGTCATGAGGGTCGTGTCGAACTCGAGAAGAGTATCCATATCCGCAGAACCTGGGGCGGGCTAAGCGCAGCAGAACAGCCCCAGGAATCCCCTCTTCCTCCTTCCTCCGTGCTCGTCGTCGGTCTGGGGCATCCCACGGTCGTAGACCGCCATATCCGTGCGCGGTGCACTCTGCGGTTGAGGAGTACCGCCGTACCTGTACGCGTCGCTGCCGTTGACACCGGTGGGAGGCGTATTTGCCTGGCTCTCGGGCCTGTAGCCGTTCGGTGGTGTACGACCGTAGCTCGGTGCCGCAGCGTACGGGTGTACTTGCGATACCTGCTGCTGAGATGCGCGACGGCTGGCAGGTGCGAGAGGTTGTACGCTGGCATCGGCCCCACGAGACTGACCGCGGGAGTCGGCAGTTGGACGGCGCGGCGTCTTGAGATGGGCGCTCGATGGGCTTGCAAGCTCGGCCTGTGCACGCCGGCTCCCACGCCTTTCCTCGCGCTCACGATGACGCTGCTCGCGCGCGGCGCTCTGGTTCTGCGCTTGAGCGGGTGCGGCGGCATGTGCCTGTGCGAGGACAGTGGATGACGTATGGCCCGCCTCCCATCCCTTGCCGTTGTTGAGCAGCATCCAGTCGTAGACGCCGTCCTCCTGCTCTCCCGCGTTCCTCAAGACCTTGGTGAACAATTCCCGAAGGAAATCGTAATCCGGGTTCTCCTCGAAGCCGAGTTTCCGGACGTAGTTCATGTAGATCGCGAACTCCTCCGGGAAACCTTCACACAACTCCGCGATGGGCGTGCTCTGCTTCTTCTCGCCAATCTTCTCGTACTTTTGCTTGTTGGTCGCTGCACGGAGACCTTGCCAGGGAAGGCCGCCACGGAGGAAGTACATGAAGACGTGCCCGAGAGACTCGAGATCATCACGTCGAGACTGTTCGCGGCCCAAGTGCGTGTTGATGGACATGTAACGCGCGGTGCCGGAAAGTGACTTGCGTTCACGGTATGGGATGTGGACCTTCGTCTTGGGATCACGGTAGTGCTTCGCCATGCCAAAGTCTGCATAGTGATGTACGTCAGAATATGTTCGATGCACCACAACAATGACAGCAGTAATTGAAACG